ATTTAGAAGGTGGATGTAAAATCTAAGGGGAAATGAAAGGCATACCGGAAAGGAAAAAAAGAAAGAAAGGAATTTATGAAAGTGGGTGTAAAATAATGGAGATAGGAAAAAGAACAGCAATAAGAGAAACATGGTGCAGCAAGAAGTGGGTGGAGTTTGTTTGAAATTAGGGATTTAGAAGGTGGATGCAAAATCTAAGGGGAAATGAAAGGCAAACTGGAAAGGAAAAATAGAAAGAAAGGAATTTATGAAAGTGGGTGGAAAATAATGTAGGAAACGATGCTAATGGAGACAGGAAGAACAACAATTTTTCCATCCATGGTGCAGCCGGAAACGGCACTAATGGAGAGGAAGACGAAGAGCAATAAGAGAAAAACGGTGAAAATTTCTTTGTTTATTTTGAGATATGTGAATTTGGGTTAAAATTAGGAAAAGGGTAATTTAGTTATTTAAATTAATTAATTTATTAATAACTTGCATTTAGTAGGAAAAAATTTTCTAATTAAAGTAAGTGAGCCACGTGTTAAAAGAACAATAACTTAAAAATTACACAATAATTTGACACTTGGCAAGACTTTCCATCCATGGTTTCTCCTTTATAGTATATATATATAGATTGGATAGTGGGAAGGCAAAAATTAATATTTAATTTTTTATCTTATAAAATTAATAGATTTTAATTTTTTACCTTATAATATTGCATATTTGGCCTTTTACCTTACAAATTTATTAGGTTTTACCCCTTTACGTTACAAAGTTGGTAGGTTTTAACCCTCACCTTATATTATGATATTTTTAACCTCTTACTTATACAAATTGAAAAAAAATAACTCTCATATAATATTATGTTATAATATTCTGTTAACTGACTATTAACATTCATTAGTATTTCGTTATAGAAAACATGAAATTTAAATTCAATTTTATTTGTTAGTTACATTAATGGAATACTAACGAAATGCCAACAGATTTTAACAGTAAATTAATAGAACTGACAGTCAACTAACAAAACTAACAGAACATTATAACCTAATATTAAGTGAGAGTTATTTTCTTCAATTCGTATAGATAAAAGGTTAAAAGTGTCGTAATATAAAGTAAAGGATTAAAACCTATTAATTTTGTAAGGTAAGAGGTTAAAACTTACTACATTTGTAAGACAAA